TATTATTATTATAACTAACTCTCCAGGGTCACAATATTTGGGTATTTTATCTCAGTGAGTTAGTTATTCCAGAGGCTTGGAGTTCAAATCCCACTATGCATCCCAGAAGATTCTGCCTACATGACCTTGGGCAAGCTGCACAGTTCCAGAGCACCCCAAGAAGAAGGGAGCGGCAAACTGCTTCTGAGTATTTGCTACCTAGAAAACCCTGAAAAGAGTTGCCATGAGGCAGAATTGAGTTGATGGCACACAATGATGATGATGATTTCTGTATGAGCTGTTACCATGAAAAGAAGAAAAACTGATCCAAGCTTTTTTTTGTTACGTGTTCGGTACTATATATCACCAACAAGGTTGGGATTGGGGAATTGCACTTTATGTTTTGAACCCAAGCCATGTGCAAAAACTGGAAGGGAAAAGTTACATTTTGGACTACAATTCTAAATGCTAGTAAGTCAACGTGGTCTTCCTTGGGCTTTATTTGAGTGGCTATAATGGCCTAAAGTTTTGAAAGTGTTGTGTGGTCCCCAAAAGTGGTGTTCACCGTCTCCAGGAATAGTCTCCTCAGGGAGAGCTGCCTCAGCTGTTTGCGAACTGTTTGCCTGAGGGAGTTTCTTTAACCATCCCCCACATCTTGGGAAGCATTCTAGAGAGACTCTTCTTACCCTGAAGGGAGTTTCCACTAAACAGAAACAGATCCTGTCATTCACCCTGCATTCCAGGAACCTGGCTCCTCATTGACCCGTAAGAACATGAAATCCCACTGTGTAGGAATTTACAGTCCAGGTTCCCCACCATTAATTCTCTTGGTGAAAAGGGAGGAGGGGGCTTGGTGGTGATGGTAATGGGGAAAAGCATCAGGGGCTGGTCTGTTAAGACAAATGGGGCAAAAAGTTAAGGACCAAATTGTGTAACATCCTGACCCCCACTCTATGTGGGAGGTGTGGGTGAGTGGCGATTGGAAGAGAGAAGGTCAGCTTTGAAGCCAGACCCAGAGGGGAGCAACAGTAAGTTGGGATAGTTCTAACTTGGGGACAAGTTGTGATTTTTTTGTTCTTCAGCTGAGTTATGGAATGCAGGAATAGGGTGGGGTGAGAGAGCATCTGAGCTAGCCTTGTTTTCTGTGTGTCAATGTTGGTTTCTCTCTGTGTGTATGTATATATAAATGCACACTCTTGCTCTTAGCTCTGCCTGGTTCCATCCACCGCTGACTGCTATGTTTTCCACTCCACCGAGTAAAATGGGCACCAGCTGCCTTTGAGGAAAAGTACCAGTTCTTCTTCTAGACTGTTCTTGTGATTCCCACTGGGAAGAGGACATTATGCAGTGGTGGGATTCACACTTCCCTAAATACCTAACTAAGGCTCCTCCAGATATTTTGCTGTCTGAAGCATGAGGGAGGAAATGATGTCCCCAATGCACTCACGTCTTGACCTTCTAAAATGCAGGCCAAGCCAGGGAAGTTATTTCAGCACATAAGGCTGCTGTTTCTGCTAGCAATTCCACAAAGATCTATGCCTATCCTGGGCAATAAAATAGCAGATTATATAACTTTTTTTTTTTTGCCCTTTGATGGCACCCAACATCTACTACTTGGGTGAGTTTTGCCAGGTCCTGAGATCTGCTCCCATTCTTGTTCCACTGTTGGTTCCCTTATAGAAATATAATTTATATAGGAGGTACATAAAAGATTACTTTCCCCACCTATTTATTCAAAGATCAAAGGGCAAGATACCTGGGACTATCCTGTTTTCTTCTTAAATCATCCATGTAAGGAGGGTATAGGAAATAATAACCACACGGACTAATGGGATTTGATCCCAGGTCTTGCTAGCTCTCAGTCCGCTATAACAACTTCCCTCTACCAGGTCCCTGTGTCTGGGAGAGCTATATCCAATTAGCAATTACAAAGGTAGGCTAGAAGGAAGATTCAGTAGAATTGTCCAAGAATTGTCCAAAAATTAATCATCCTTCCCAGCTCTGCGGTTTGTCTTCATAT